AAAGAGAATCACAGATTACAGGATGTGAAATGACACAGCTACAATTATTGGCTGATCACACGTACTCTGTATTCAACAGCAGCAGACCATTAAAGCCCTTAATACTTTCGTGCCTGCATTATTCACCAGTCTGGTAAAACAGTTTAGTGCTGCTCTAGCTGATGAGGGATCAAAATTTAAGCAATTCATAGAAAGCTTACTTTAGTCAAGGCTAGGGAGGAGGAATGCCTCTTGAGGTATTCACTGACTGCATCTGAGCAGCACCCTCTTTGGAAACTAACAGATACCATGCTGGGTTTCCTTAACCTGGTGCTGAATCTCAGCACCCTGTCTGCCAGCTGGGGACCAAAGAGCAGGTGCTGCTGAGCATACAGGCTGGTAATCTAAACCAATTTTGTGTTACAAAAGGTATAAATAAGTACTCCGGTATATTTCAGGGGTACCCACAGTTCTAGGGAGGCTCTTCTTCTAGGGGAGTTTCTCCTCAGAAGCCCAACAGTAGATGCTAGAAGGAAAGATCAGTTTCTAGACCTTCACATGAATTAAGGAGGACCCAGAATTCTGAATAAGGAAATGAGTTAGTCACTTCATCTGAGACATGAGCAGTACATATTTTGTCCTAGAATAAGAGCCTTGGGAAGTGGACTTCTCAGACCTGATTCACCAAAACTGGAAATGCTTGTAAACAGCAGACACAATAAACTTCAAAGGTCTGGGATTACATAGGGAAGAATGACCTGTGCAATTGAACACAATATTAAGAGAGTTGGAAAAAAAACCAGTTCTTCCAGTCATTTAGAAAACATTGACAAAGATTTTTGCTTCACTCATACAAAGCTTGGAAGTTCATTAAATAAAAAGTATAGCCTCCATTTCAGAAGCGATACACATTTATTCACTTAATTGATCACTAGATGCATGCAAATCAGAATTTCAAAGTGAGAATTTTCAATGATTGTGCCTAATTATTGAATGTGCATTTAGAAGTCTTTTTCTTCGGTATCTTGTTGAAGCAACATGCCTACACAGTCAGATTATAGAGTGCTCCATATAAAGCACTACGGATCTGAATTGGTAAAGAAATCCCCTGAACTTGATACGAAAATACTGTCATTCTAGTAAAGATGCTTTTAAACATGCAATGATACAACTCTTTGCTGTATGGAGAATGCATTCTTTCCTCCATTGCCATCTGAAAAACGTAGGGTTTTGTCTCTCTTCCCCAAATCCTATAAAAGCATCTCAAGAACTACATAGAGAATTTTGTACTTAAACTATAAAGAAAAGCAAAAAGTAAAGTGCACACTTTCTAAGTATATGATATGGTTCAATACAGTTGTACAAAAAGAAAAGCTTTTGCTGAGCTGTTGAACAGAAGTGGACAGTTCTCGGAAAACAGAAAAACCCAAGATATTTGTGATTATTCATCCAAAAGCATATCCAATCATTCTTACTTTATTGTCACCTATTTACAAAAGAAAAGGTGAAAAGTTGTCCATCTTTAGGTGTCAAAACCAACTAGGCCAAAGAACAAAGAAACAAACAAAAAACCCCTGCCACTGCTGCTAGTGCTTCTCTCTCAGCAAAGAAATCAAACCCAGCATATTCAGACACTTTTGAGAACTGGGTGCATGGGCAGTTTTTCCTATGAGACCTTTTCTCTCAGCCCAATCACTGAAAAGGAAAACTAACAGGCTAAGCAGGAAATTCACAATTCCAAATGATCCCATTTAATCTTGCCAGTTCAGCAGCGATTCATTCCAGCCCCAGCAGCGCACGGCTGGCGCGTGTGAAGCGGCAGCGATTCCTCCGTCTGTCTGGAGCTGCTGGCAACCACCTGCCCCTACAGCCCCCCCACCCCCCAGTGTTACTGCTATGGAGCTGCCCCCACAGTTCTTAACAACTGTTTACTTTAGTTGAAAATAATTTACCTTTGATATGGCAAGAGACTCCCTACAGAACTCAACTGAAGTTTTACCCAAATACTCCCCAGGATTCAGAAATACAGACATACGTATTTTAATGCTTGAGTTTTACTTAAAACTTGTTTCAGCATTTCCCAGCATCTCCTAAGATACTCACATCCATTGTAGCATGGAAACTTTGTAACATTTTGTTACAAAGTGACACATTTGGAAAACAAAACCCAAAACAAACCCACAGAAAATGACCCCCTCCCCAAACACACAAAACCAAAACAAACCCCTCCACAAGCCATCAACAAATCCACTAAAAGAAAAAAAAATTTTAAAAGCCAAAATATGTTTCAGCTTCATTACAATTAGCTTTAGGATTTCCCTGCATTCAAAAAGGAACTCCTCTAGTAGAGATGCAACTTGTACCAGTAAGAGCCCGTCCTTCCCTTGATTTTCACCCAAAAGTCCATGTCCTGGTGTATCCAGAGCGACCAACCTAACTGGGTAAAAGGAGTGTCCCCCTGTCCCCGTCACAGCCAGCGCTGCTTGTGGTGGTAGGGGTGTGTTTTCACATTAAAACAAGACCTGTAGTACTACGAAGCTGTAGTAATCTACATTTCTTCAAAGATTACACTTGTTCTGCACACATTATTTTATAACACTAGAAGTGAATTGGAATGTTTCTTCCCTAAAATAGAGGGGAGGGAGACATCCGGAGCCGCCCGAGCATCGCCTCTCCATGGGAGGCTGCTGGGAGCTCAGGGCACACACCACGCTGCAGTAAAAATGTTGTTTTCAACTGATTCGGGCCATAGGAAAAAGAAACAAATGAAGAGTTTATTCTAAGTTGCTCCTAGAGTTCATAGATTAATTTTCGCAACTTTTTATATAGTTGTATCTATGCACTACAGTAGAAAGCTTAACAAAGTCATTCACTGAATTTATCTACTTGTTTCAGAACTACTGTAGCAATTCTAAACGTTTTTATTAAGTTAAAATCTTGCACAATTTGACAAGCAAGAATGAAGTCTGTTCTGAGTTGTGTTTGCACTGTAGTAAGTGTTTCTGGAGTAACGGAGTTAAGGTGTGGCAGCCGCTTCACAAACACACACCAGGGCAAACCGAGAGGGATTCCCGGAGCAGGGGAAGTCGGGCCACAGCAAACAGCACAGCACTCTCTGCTCAAGCTTAATAAAGTAAATAACTGCACTGGAAAATATTCTGTTCTGGGCTTTCTGCCATACAGGAAGGGTGTTGAATATGTCAGTGTCCATAATTATTATCAACAGAAAAAAATACCAGAAAGCAACAGTTCAGCTCTTAATTCTTTCCCGTTATCACATACAAGAGTGAAGTACAATTTACATCTTCCTCCCCCCCCGTTCATTCTAACATGTCTGTACATTCTAAAGCTGGGCTACAGGTCTGAAGTTTGTGTTCCGCTGACTATCAAACGCCATTTTTTCCTTTAATCAGAATCGAGTTATTTATTAGTCCACATGTTCAATAGTCTTTTGGGGAATGGTAAGGGGAAGAGGTTTTCACCTCCTTTTTAAAAATAAAGAGATATTCTATGTTTTCTCTAAGAACAAGAAAAAGATAAAAACATTTCTTGGGTAGGACAGGGAATGTTATCAAAGGCCTCTTCACTGCCCAGTTTATCCCGTCCCACCCCACTGCAGACAGCGCTGCCCTGGCTGTGCGTTGGGGTTCAGCAATCACTGCTGCTCACTGGCAATGACAGCTCTGCCATCAATCACAGTGCTGCCCACCACTCAGCTACCACACCAGCATGGTCTTTGGGAACTGCAAAATAAAACGTCATCACAGACGTACACTGAGCAGATGAGTTCTAATTGACATTTGTGATAAGCTGGGACGGCACAAGGGAAGCGACTGTCTCAGAGGGTGAGGTGACAGATCACTGTGACTCAGATGACTGGGGTTACTCCTTCCTCCACAGCCTCCACCATTAACATCCGCACTGGAAAATTTAATATTAGTTTTAATCACTAAGAAATTATTGGGATTGCTACTGTCATCCTAAAATACCTTTGAAACTATTAATTCAGGCATGAAAATAAAGATCCAAATGTCATCATCCTGCAGAAACGTTTTATTTAAGACTGAAGATTCTTAGATAAAAGGTGGGTACAAAATCTGTTGATATCAAGAACATATAATCTAATTCTCACCTTTTTTTAAAAAAAAATAATAATATGGGACTACACATGAGAACTAACGCATCAAGCGTTCGCATTCAGAGTTAATACCTTGAATAAAGTACTGATTTATCTTAAAAGAAGTTTTGAAATAGAGACGGAAAAGCAAATTTATTCTGAAATTCAGCTGTTACAATCTATGTATTGAGCCAAGACAGATGATTATTTCCAGTTCTGACCATGAAAGCCAAACTGTTACTTCTCTGTGGCTTTATTGTTTTAGAAAAAACACAACAAAACAACAAAAAACCACCCCAAAATTTCAGTTAGAATGTTTCCTTGTAAAACTGCCATTTTTTCCCCTTGAATGATCTTTACAAATTAAGGCTGAACTTGATTTCAAACACAATTTTATTTTCCCTACAGAGACTGTCACTGAGACACATGTCCATAACTGTGTGGCAGGTATTAAATAGGTTACTACCTTGGTACCCACAACAGAAACCTAAGTCAAAGTTGAAAACCCATTCTTTAACAAAACACAATGAATCATACCAAAACCTTCATGTGCAGATTTCTGTAAAACTGTTCCCAGCTTTGCAGAACGTACAAAAAGGACCAGTTCTCAACATTGCATCAATTCTTTGCTAGCTTTTCTATTTTAAACAATAAACCTGCATTTCAAGTCTGTTTTACAACAACAGTGCATACATTCCAAGGGATACAGAACACCATAATGAAGCTTCTGTTTGATGCAATTAAATGAACCCTTTATATTCAGATTCTAACATTTTGACCTACAAAACACACTATACCAACACATTTTAGAAACGATGGGTTTTTTCCAGACAACGCAATAAAAGACAATGTTAACTCCACAACACACACTGAAGTAGTGAACTGCTGAAAAGGTGGCATGTACCTGTTCCTTTACAGAAGCCAAAATGGTAGTGGCAGTGGCCTCTGGTTCCATGCCCGGGCCTGTGGAAGGTTCCTGCGTGGTCTGCGGCAACCCCTCCTCCACCATCGGGGTCTGCTCAGGGGCTGGCATTTTGCCTGCAATAACAATATTTTAAAATAGTTTACATTTTGAGCCAGTGATATTTAAGAAAATTCAAGTTTTCAGGATTATAAATTCTCTTCTCTTCTTTCTAAACCTTCCCAAACTTAACCAAATTCGCAGAGAACTTGGTATTATTAGTATCAATGTAACGTGCTATTTCTGTGCTTCAGACTGAAATCAGAATTACATACCGAACGTGAGGGCTGAGCAGAAGCAACCAAGCAGCATGACATTTAAAGATGATTTTTAAAATACTATTTTGTAGTAGTTACTAAAAGAAGCAAAACCCAAGATGTGTGAAAAGTACTAGAACAGATCAAGAAGAGCCAGGATCAGAAGTTTACCACATGTGCAGTTTTTAGCATAGAAGAATGACACATAAGAGCAGAGTGCTTTGCTGTTAGGAACGAACCATGGAAGAGAATAATTATGGTAATAAAAAGTTAATGAGAATAATGCTTCTGGTGTTAGGTTTGCAATAGAATACATTAAAACACTAAAGTTAAACCAATTGCCCTGGGCTATGGATAGGGGAGAGGACAGACAGGATTAGTGATCAGGAATCCCAAGGCTCATTATCGCGGAGGCAGCACACTAACGATTCCAGTACGGGTGAAAAAGGCAATTCATGTGTTTAACTACAGAAGTCACTATTAACTAATATTAGAGATAGCTATGAAGTGTGTTTAATACTTTGAAAATAGCAAGGAGGTGGTATTAATGTAGTTTCTGCACATATTCCACGTTTTAATTTCCTTCAGAAATTAAAGAAAAGAAAAAATAAAATAAAGCTCGTGAGGTCTAATGTAGTTCATTTTAGATTTTCAGAACAAACTCAATACTCCCTGAGGAGAAGACCAACACGAACAGCAGCTTCCTTCCCTTCATTTCACAAAGAGCAGCTTACACTGCAGACAGGCTCCGGGGCTGGGGACGGACCCGCAAGACTTCTCAGCCCTGACCTGTTTTAGCCATGACCATCCCTTCTCCACCACCTGCCTTCTGAATGCTGAACTGGCACAAAGCTGGGCACGCACTGCCCCGGGACACAGCCTGGGGGGGCCTTCACAGCACCAGAAAAAGGGAAAGAAGAAAGAAAGGCGGAAAAAGGATGACACCCGTTTCTTTCACTGCCACCTTATCTGACCCAACTGATCCCCATCAGCTGGAGGGGACCAAGGTGGGTCTCTGGCAGCTGGAACACAACCTGCTCCTGCAGAATCGAGTGCTGTTACACGGCATTTGGCTTGCAAAGTGCCACCAAATGAATAACCAGTCTTATCGGGCTAGTTTTGAAATGACATTTTAATTGTCTTCAGGCGCACAAATCTGAAGGCTGGGAGCTCTGTCGCCAGCCCCGAGGTGGCTCCAGGGAGCCCGGCCTCTGCAACAGCAACTCAGAGAGCAGTCAGGAAAGCAGCCTGGAAATGTGCTGTAACAGTGACAGAACACGATTCTGAAAAGTCAAAGATGTAACTTCAAGGTTTTAGAAAACAAACATGTATTCTTTTAAGTTTTTACATATTAAAATCAACTCTTTCATCAAGTCGTAAAAACCCAAGGAATTGTAGAATTCATGTTAATGATTCCCTGGGTCTGGGTCAAACCAGATTTTTTAGATCACTTTCCAGATTTCTTTTATGAGTAGAACTCAATGTTTCAGGTTTCCAAATAGACTACTAAATTTACCAGTATGTCACGAAGTAATAAAAGCACCCAGCCAAGCTTCTCCTTCATTTAGGACTATTTGCTAAGTAATCAAACGGACAAATCTTAAAAACTCTCACAAGTTACACATGAGCTTCTTTCAGAAACAGGCTGTTTTCTTGTCCAGACACCCCAGTTCTCTCCAAAGGTTTAACCAGTTTACGAAAGATAAGTTATGAGATAACTTAAAACACTGAAATCAGGGCAATATTTATTCCACCAAACAATAAACTTCTTAAATTTCTTTTCTTTAAGACATAAGGGGAAGAAAAGCATAGCTTTTTTTTTTTTTACTTAAAAAGTCTTTTACTTTTTGAAACTTGCACCTATGATGTGCCACAAACGTACTATAAAAACGTACTGCCAATTCCATGTAAGTGATCGCTTTCAAAGTATACTGTCTACATCAATGCTTAAAACTCAACCAACCAGAAACCCCTACATAAATATGATATAATGAGCAGAGATATGAGATGATCTGTTTGTCTTTTCCATAACTTTATCTGTCACTCTTTTCTCAACACTGTGAAACAACCCTTCAGCCTCCCTGTAGTACATTTCTGTAACCAGGCAAGAAAACGTACATGTGAACTAGCTGGAAGGTACGGTAATTTCTCTAAACAGAAAATATATGCAGTATCGAGTCTCTAATAACAACACCCAGATGAAGACCAATCAAATTAATTATTAATGAAGATGTCAGTGTTAAATGTACATCTATCTCAGTGTTAAGAGGTGTAATTAGAGCGCTGTACCCTTCCACACAGGCAGTTGTTTTAACTGCTGTTCTTTCAATTAACACATTTCTTGGCAAAGTTCCTGATTTTCTAATCTCGACTTCAAGATTAGACAACTGTTGGCTTTGATCCCACACACACTTACGTACACACTGAAGCTCTTGCTAAGGAGAAGGCTCCTTCCCCCGAGCTGCTGCATGGCCAGGCAGCGGTGGGACACGTGGGCTGGGGCGACGTGGGGCTGCAAAGGGAGGAACACCCAGGAGATGCTCTCTGAAGCCCAGCCCCGCAGAGGACCCCGTCCCACCAGCCTGCCCCCGGCCAGGCACGCCGTTCGAGGAAGGGAACTCACAAAGTCAGCATAGATTCTCAGATTCACCTTAGGGGAATGGGAAATACCAAATGCAGATTCGTGAGAGCCTTAAAATCAGGTATGAGTCAAACTGTGGAGGAGTTAATAAGAAAACCTCTTTCTTCCTTGCGCAAGACTGGGATTTACTGGCTGGAGATACTTCCTGAGCTGTGTTACTCACTCCTTTGGGTATGGATAACTGGTTTGTTACTGGAAAACAAGCAACCAGACTTCACCTCTCAGAAAATTAAGTCCATAGTTACACTGCCTGCATTGTTGTCATGGCCCAGCAATCAGATCCCACCCAGAATAGGAGACTGTTCCTACATCTTTCCTTGTCCGTCCAAACCCTCATCCCCTACAGCCCTTTGCTACAGCACCACGGCTACCAAGCTGCAGCCAGGATGGACTGGGGCTGCTTCTTACAGACCTTAGGGGTGGAGGAATCAGACAATACACACAGGTACCATCTATAAATGCTCCTTGAAGCCCCCTCTATTCCAGCTCTTTTAATCCTCACACTGCTCCTGCATATTAAAGACACAGAGGTCTATGTAGCCATAACGAAAGCTCAGAAAACCTGTTCTACTGTTCTGCTGCTTTGTGCTGCACGTCAGCATATCTGACTCGCAGAGCTCCTTAAAGTTCCTCGATGTGGGAGAAAAGTTTACAGATTTAAGTTCTCTGCTACAGCAAAGAATGCAAGAAAATTGAAAGACTTAAGTGTTCTGGCAGGTTTAGACTGAACATTAAGAAAGAATTTTTCACAGAAAGAGTGGTCGGGCATTGGAAGAGGCTGCCCAGGGAGGGGGTTGAGTCACCATCCCTGGCTGTGTTTAAGAGCCGTTTAGATGTGGTGTTGGGGGACATGGTGTAGGGGAGGACTTTGTAGAGTAGGAGATGGTTGGACTCGATGATCCCAAGGGTCTCTTCCAACCTCAATGATTCTATGATTCTAATGTGAGATTGAAACTTTTGGGGACGATTAACTGCAGACTTGAGGAGAACAGTAAGAATGTGCTACTATTTCTTGTAGATTTCAGTCTCTGATCAAAAGAATGTATTTTCAATCATTTCAATAACTTTTCAGAAAGATTGTTAAATGCTTCATCTTGTAGCATATGCCTGAGAAAATTCTTAACACCTATTCTGAATCCCAAAACTCTCTAAGAGACAAGGACAGAGGCAGTGACAATCTCGCTCTAGGCTGGCCTGCATTTACGTTTGCAAACTAAGTGCAAGTGTGCAGGGAGAAAAAGTACAGCTGTTCAATTGGAAGCCTCTAGCCTGAAATACTCCAGAATAATTCTGAAAACAGTGGCTTTTCCGTCCTCTCTGCCATGGAGGCTCACTGCAAGGGTTTCATCAAGCCATGCAGTAAGTGGGATCAGAACCAAGCCATCAAAAGAATTAGCGTTCGGTCCCACCGTGGGGCACAGACCATCTCTTCAGGCACAGACCATCTCTTCAGGCAACTGCAGGGATTTGCTGAGCAAACCACACTCAAACAGCCGCTTTACTCTCTCTTTAGGGATACCTATTGCCTCCAGTACGCAGGATTGGCTTGTTTACATCCATACACAAAAGCACCGACTCCGAAGAACCTCCCAGATGTTCCCCTTTGCAGGAAGGCAGCAGAGCTCTTGGCAGCCAGCGCGGAGGCTGGGCCAGGTTCACCAGTTTGCTCCAGCAGCTCCCCAGTCCCGGCTGTCCCGCTGCTCCCCTCAGCAGGCAGGGAGGCTGTGGGTTGCCAATGGGGCAATGCCTGCTTTTGTGTCAAACAGCTGCAAAGAAAATAGGCTCAGGGAGTTCATCTGACACAAAGCTAGGCTTTTTTTGTGGTGGGGGTGGCGTGTTTTTCCAAACCAGCCGATCTTGCAGCCCTACAGTCACTGATGCAAGGAAGGAACAAGAATACACGGTTGAGGAGGAGAGAGGAAATAACAAATCACTAAAGTGAGTGTGGGAAACCATGCTTTGACCTTTGTGCCCGCTTGTCCCTACTCCCCACCTTCCCCTGTTCCTCCTGTGATTTTCCTAGAGATACCCAGGCAGTTGTGCCAGGACCGAGTAACCCCTCTCCTCCCAGTGTGGGCCCAAGGAGAACCCCGATCTCTCCAGGCTCCCTGCACGACAGCGACGTGGTGCTTTTCCACAGCTTCCTACTCACTTCCCTTGGTATTCCTCTCGCCTTCCT